GAAAGATGCTGGAGGCAGTCTAAAAGAAAGCTCACAATGACGGTGGTACCAGAGACCAGAAGAAAGTATCTGAAGACTCTACCACTTTCTGAAGACCCTACCACCAAGAATGTATCTGAAGACTCTACCACTTTCCATTCATCCCCATTAAATTTAATCAGATCTTTTCATTGTAAATCTGTGTTGGCAGTCTATAAAATAATAGAATCATTAGTCATTTACGCACCAGCATCCGAAGTTGATATGTAGACTTTTTTTATTTCTAGGTTACCATTCAGATGCATTGATAAAAAAAGTAATTTGGTAACATGGTATCTTACTTCAACTAGAAATCTATTTAGTGTATCAGAGATTCTGTGGTATTCTTTTCCATTGTAAATATATAATAAGAATATTTTTGGAATAGATTAGTTCTTTTCTGTGGGTGATAGAAATGGATGTATATATAATTAAATACATTAAAAACACCAAAATGTCATTCTGGAATCTTCTATCTTAATAAAATGGTCAGCTCTCAACGTATCAAATAGTGTTGCCAAAAATCGTTCTTGGTCTTGCACTTTGCTCGAACAAGACTCGTAAAAAAAATAAATTCAATTTTTTGAATAAAAATTAAGGCTAAATAGTTCCTACGTGTTGACAATTTTATTCATTATATGTAAAGAATTGGTGTAACTAATATATTTTTGTAATTCAACTCTTCTAATTTTTCATTCGGATGTAGTTAGGTTTCTCCTTTCTAAAAAACTACAGTAATATCTCTATAGTAATAAGCTAATAAGTAACTGCAAGACAGTCGCGAGACTCTTGCGCAAGACCAAGGCTTATATTAGTCTCGCATTTGGGAAACACTAGTAGCAAACCATAGCCTGCTGAACTACCTTAGTTGAATTCTTAGTTTCCAGATTCAAACTTCAATCAATGTATTGTAACACAAATGGCAAAAAGTAAATGAATTATACCACCTCAAATGATAACTAACCACTCAATGTAAAATATTTTACTTATCTAGAGGTCAAATGAAATTAAAAAATAATGAATCGATTATTTTGAATTAACTGGATTAATTATAAGATGCTAATTTTCCATTCTGCCAAATCATTCACAGATATAGTTGACCAGATTGTATAAATAATCTGTCAATCACACATGAAAGCAATGTACCAACTCATGAATGATTCATTGAGAATAAATACAATTTTTAACCTTCCATTAAGATTTCATGTCTCTGGTTGGGTCTGAACGAGATTATCTAATTTAAATTCCAGGATCCCGTGGCCAGCGGCCGAGGTTTCGTGCGTTCGACATGGCTGCCCTGCGCTTGGAATACTGATGCTGAATCATTTATAAACGCACACACAAAAGTGGTTAATTCTCCAGAATGACAACCATTAAGCACGCTATTCCATGGGTTAAAGGTCATGGAATGAATATTCCAGCTAAATTAGGTACATATGTCGCCAATTGTTCGTTCAACATTTGTAAATTACATATTTATTATTTTGTTGTTATTGAAGTATGTGAAATTCCGTCACAATATAGACAATCGTTATAGTAAAGAAAGTTGTATCACATCAAATTAGTTATTTTTTTTATTAATATTTTTTGTAATGTCCATTATCAAAAAAACTTGTGGTAGTCAATGTATTCATAAGTTATTTTTCTTACACGGCAGTATATATCATAGTCTTTAATTATATAAGATACTGTCGGTCATTTAATAGACTAAGCACATTGCACCATTTGACCCACTAAGTCTTTCTAATTCCAGAAGGACCGTTGGAGATACCCTCGAATGACCCGGCCGACAATCAATAAACGTTTTATAGGCCAAATGGCTACTGAAATAAAACTAAAACTTTTCGAAATGGTTGAGATTAATATTTAGCCAAAGAAGTTTTATATTTTCATTAATTAGACCTTCTAACCTCCCGTAAATTTCTCAAACTAAAAAATCGTGATTTCTGACCAGGAATTGTGCGATGCAGTATAGAGAAGCCTTCGCTTTCTGCTATTCAACTAGACGTCTCCATCCGACCTTTCTAATAAATTCTTTATTCGCGACAGAAAATCAATACCCGATTTCATAACGTGAGACCTCTGTGTACTCTTGAATAGGAAATTCAACCGGACATCTGTCAGAAAAATTAATTATTTGACCGAAACATGACGTATGACTTTCAATTTAAAAAAGTTTTATTCAATGCTTACTTTTGGAATCTCTTTTGATCTTTTTGCAGTCCACTACAGAATTACAATAAAATCTTTAATTAATTATAAAAATGATAAATTAAATCAGATATTGGACTTTATGCGATAATTTACGTTTTTAAGGAGTCGGAAAAGCTTAATAGAATAAATTTATACCTTAGCTTCATTAGTATATGAATAAGAAAAATCATCTAGCTTATACTTTTAAGCTAAATAAAAAATATAATATATTTTTGAAATGACTAAATATATTTTTAAATAATATTACAGGCCAAAAGATACCAATAAAGTTTTATTTGCATTTAATTTTTCGGAATATTTCGGCAATCTTGAACCATTTTCAAGTCTGTTATGCGTCATATTTTATCTACCTATTTTTTAATGAAACTCTTTCCCTACACATTTCTTATTACCAGTCGATTTGCTTTCCAGGTGGTTGATTCATTACATCATATGTGCATGTTCTTCTTTTTTTTTTTCATTTTTTCGAATGATTGGATGACCAAGGCGCCCAATGTAGTATATATTTCTTTAGTAACTAAATATATTTAGTTGGATCTAAATGCTTATTATATATAATACAAAGAATTAAGATGAGTAAAAATTAGTTGTGGTTAAATTGTTGGGATTTCAATAGCATTATTGATAAAATACTTTACACTAAAAAATGAAGAAAATTTTGTATTAGCCCAATTGTGGCAATTACTATTTTATTTAAATTACTTAAATATTTAGTCATGCCTAAAAAAAATATTAATTGTGATCATGTATCTTACCCTTAGTCCTGGACCTGTAAACACGATAAAAAATAAACAATAATAGCATAATAAATATTACTATAGAAGAACATGTAGCTCGAAAAGGGACATAAATGAATCAAAACCAAATTAATCTAAATGGAAAAATTTAAACCATAAACCTTGAGGCTCAAGAATCATCAGGAGAGAGAGAAAAAAAAAGATAATTTATATGAAGGAGAAATAAGAGAAGAAAAAAAAAATAGTTTCATTAGTGACTTCTCACCAAGCCATCCAAGTTCATGCATGAAGAAATGGTAGGTTGCATCAGCGCAGTAAAGAAGGGTTACGTTAAACAGCTGATTAGAAGGTATGTCATCTCCCCCAATGCCAGGGGCACCAGCCGAGAGGTCTGTGAAGCCTTGGTGGAGATCTGTATGAAGTTAGTTTCCAATGCCCACCATGCGAGTGAAGAACCACATCCTACAAGAGGTGGCCCTGCTTTCTACAAAACACGGCGGATCAAGACCAGGAGGTCGATAAATATCACTGGTGTGAGGCAGCAGGCACGGCACCACTACTAGCATGGAGCCGAAGACAGAGTCGGCTGGATCCATGTTTAGACATCATCAGGCGGAGCTAGAGACCAGTAGAACGGCTGATGCGACGGGACAGGTGGAGTTCCAAGCCGTGGTTAAGGAAATCCACCTAGGGTTCCTTGGTCAGGATATAAAGAGGACCCTTTTTGTCCTCTTTAGGGTAAAGGGGTCTTTGGGAATTGGGCCAATCACCCACCCGAAGTATAACTGATTCAAATAAGGTCAAATTCAAACACGGCATGGATAATGATATTCGACTAGGTATATGGAACATCAAGACCCTTTCTGGTAAAGAGGTCGAACTTGTTGGCGAAATCAATAAGTACAAAGTTGACATTACAGGATTAGGTGAAACTGAGAAGAAGGGAAATGCCATCACAAGGCTGGTTAATGGATTTACGTTGATATACTTTGTTGATATACTCAGAAGTGAATATGAGAGAGAGGGCTAAAGGTGAAGTGGCGTTTGCTATGAAGGATGAACTGTTTGACAGGATGGAAAGCTGAGAAGCAACATCCAACTCACTATTGGTAAAACTTAAGTCATCCAGATTTATGCTCCTACGGAAGACTCACCGGTTGCTGACAGGGACCAGTTTTATAAAGACCTGCAGAAGTCTGTTGACCAAGGCCGCGTTGAGAACAGAATGGTTGTTGTGGAGATTTAAATGCCAGGACAACATTTACTCCCATGGAGTAATAGGTCAATGGGAGTATAAGGCCTGTTAAACAAGTCATGCAGGAACGCCAACTGAAGTGGTTTGGCCATGTGTACCGTATGGGTGACAGCCGAACGTCAAAATGGTTCCCAGGTCGTAGTATTGTGACTACATGGAGATACTCGAGCGAGCCAGAGGTAGCAATATGGTGTTTATGAGGAGAGCCAGTGCCAGGGACGAGAGGGGCCGAGGCTGTTCATCCACGCTGATGGCACTAAAGAGGTGGCAAAAGAAGAAGGTGAAATATTTTATAGTATATAAGATATTGGTATTTTTTTTTTCTTTTGTCTTTTTCCATATGTGTGAACTTGTTTTTCTGTCCTGATGATGCCTAAATTGGCAGAATCTTGGCTGGTTACCTGTTCAGCTGTATGACACAGAGTCAACGCTTTATGATTGCATTATTCTATTTATATACTAATACAATAGGTATTAAATAAAACAAAAATATTTTTTTATTTATTTAAAAAAATTAATTTGGTTTATAAATAAATAAAGTTATTTTCCTATTAAAGAATGCCTTTCAACAGATCCTAACCGACCTGTAATGTCATTTTTTTTATTTATTTTTTTTTATACGAAAAAATATTGAACCTAGCTTACTGCAATATAATCTAGCATTCAAACATTAACTTAAGGAATCATGCTTCCTTTCGAGTTATTACAGTAAATCCTCTGTCACCTACTGCTAAAGATCCATACGATAAAATGGATTATTTTAAACTATCCTTACATGACCTCAGTGTACATATCCTCGATATCTTGAGTGTTTACATATCGATATCGGTTATACTCGACTAGCCCCAGATACTATATTGCCCACGGCCATACGGTATCTGGAGTTCAGAGTACAATTGCCTCTAGAGTGGTGGGCCCCGTATCAACATATTTCAGTCCTCCGTCGTCATCCGAGGAAATCGCAGTGAGTTCAATTATATTTTTAAAATAATCCTAAGTAATAATGAAATTATTTTTCTGTTCATGATCTCCCTATATCAATTTAATTTAATTTTTAAATTGAAATATAAGTGCTAAAATATAATTTCCTTTAATTATTACCCAATGTACGTAAACGTAGAGAATTTTCAGCACTAACGAATAATTGAGCTGCTGAATAAACAAATAGTATTTGATAGAATTGTATTTCGTAATAGAGTTATTCGGAGAACTGTTTATAAAATCACGGAAGAAATATATTTTCACCTAGCGATTAATTAATATTTCTCTGATAAATATTTACTGGTAGTTCAGATATTTAATGAAATAAATTTAGTAAAAAATGAATTCTCAGAATATTTATTAATTCTGAATTTATCTACATTGTCCGAACAGGTTGTAACATGTTTACTATACATGACTACATAAATAATGAATTTTACATCAAAACAACCTTGATGAAAAAATTATACATACATCCTAATTAAAATTAATAAACGAACAAATAAAAATAATGTTGAATAATATAAAAAATAGAATTAAAAAAATGAAGAGAAAAACTTTAAAAGTTATCAATTATATACAAAAGAGAGATTAGCAAAAAAAGTATCATAGTCAATATACTTTCATGCAAAAAATAAGAATTAAAAAATAAATAAACAACCAATATTTAATAATAAGTTTAAAATGAATAAAATTGTTCTGAAAACTAAAAAAAGAAATTAAACAATAAGAATAATTCATCTGTTAAAAATATATTTAAAAAATTATACTCTAAAACAGGGTTCAAATAATTATTTAATATTTAAAAGCAACATTAAATCAAATATATAAATCCCTCAAAAAACAATTCTTAAACAGATATACAATACTGAGACTGTTATCAATCTGGAATGTTATCACAGTTATCTTTCAATGATTTAGAATGCTAATCTATAGTTATCGGTTAAAACGCCTAATAAACAACATGAAGCTTTAAAAGCTTAAATATAAATTTATAGAAAACATTTTTTAATTTAAAATAAAATACATTATGACTTTATTTATCTATATTATTTAGCGTAATTTATAAATAAAAAATATTATAATGGTACAATTATTTTAAATTTACTTTAAACCATCTAATTTTTATTTATAAAAATATAAATTCATTGCAGATGAATCCATTCAATCCTTTTCGAATCATTCCTATTTTCGTTCAATGCTAATAATCCATGCCATTTTTATTTATTTTAGTTTTTTAGAATGTTGGGTTATTTTTTCATTCAGAAAATGCTATTATGCATCTCCTAACTTGAACTTTACAAGTGTAACCCTTATTTCGGAAACGATTCAGTCATCAAATGAAAGTTTCTATGCACGTTGTCGATCGGTCCTACAGGGACTCCCTTTAATCAAAGTATGCAGATTGTCATCTTGGGTACCGTTGCTATCGACTCGAAACTGGTCCAAGGAAATCAAATGAAATACCAATGGATATCATCCGAAAGACTTATTGATTAGTAGAAAAGAAGCTTAAATAGTTCATAAACGTTAATGTTAAGTTACCACTTATTAGTAATGAATTTTGGTTATGATTTGGTCCCTCGAGCAATAGCTGTCCATAATAGTGTTCAGTATTAATTTTTTTTCTCCTTCTTGCATTCAAAAACTCGACCTAATTTATTGGATATCCCATTTCGAATAAAGGACATCCTGAACATCTCTTTACGAAATAAAATCAGTTTAAAACTGAGATTAGCACTACTAAATTCCAAATACACTTCCACTTAATAAGGAAATTCAACTATATTTACTAATGTAATTTTTTTATTAAAGTCATAGATAATAACTATTTTTTCTTCTAATCACAATCTAACATTGATCTTCCTATTGACTTTAAATTACTTATGATGGCCCAAAGACTATTACTAGATTCAGGGGTACTCAGAAGGTGATCATAAAGTTGCGCCATCATAATTTTTAAATGGGCTAATTTTTCAAGAGTTTATGGATTTTCGAGGGGGGGGGGCACATACTTACAGAGTTATGATTTTTTAGAGGAAAGCATATTGTTGTGAAGTCTCGATTGAAGAGAACTTTTAAACGAAGGAACAAAGGGAAAATTAAACTACAAGTTTCATAATTTTACTTTTATTTACACCGATTTTAAGAAGAGAAGAACTATACCTTTTTTGGGATTATAGGATTGCACCATCGGCCTTGGAAGGACCAATACTTCCCTCTAGATCTATGTGTTATGGCTGTTTCGGTACCCATTTAATGACTTATATATCCACATCTCTTAACACAATGAATAACTAAACTAAAAAGCTTCTTATTCGGAATGTACCGCGGTTTTATTTTGCGACTCATACATACGTTCATTTGGGAAATATTTGTTTCTTTTTAATCTTTTCCATCAAGAAACCAGTGAATTGAGATCTTGTATCGCGACACACCCGAGAATGAAAACTGTCGAAAACAGCCCTTGACATGTTGCTCTTGACACGTGGGAGTTTTTAATCTTAAAATTTGAAAAAAGTATTAGACGCAACACAAACTATATATACTCATTGTTATATAATCAACATATCAGAAGAATTAAATGATAATCACGTTTTTCCAATATGGCGGGATAATCGAAGTAATATAAAGATTCGCAACTGAAAATATCTATTATGAATCTAACTCTGAACAACAATAAACACTTGGTTATACCTGAAACAGGTCTATTAACAAAATAAATAAATAAACAGCTCATCTTAATTAAAATATTTTGCTACAATAAAATTGGCATATTTGCCTTGGAAATACTTTAATCTTGTTTTATTCATTCATTATTGGCCCAACAAACACAAGCGGTCCTGCTCAATTTCCTTTGCCCTGTCATCCCTGTCGGCTGCGTACCTGATGGATATGCTATTTTTTCTCAAATCTTCTTTTACGTTATCTACCCCTCTTGCCTTCGATCTCCCCCTAGATCTAATTCCCTCTGGTTTCCCATGATAAAGTATTCTCGCTGTCCTCGCTTTATCCATTCTCGGTACATGTCCTAACCATTGGGAGAAAGACAGATCGCCGTACATTGAGTATACCTCAGTGTTTTTTCTCCAGCGGAGATCTCCTTCCTTCAGTTTATGTCACATTATTCGTCTTAGGAATTTCCTTTCAAACCGATCTATTTCTTGTGCAGATATTGCAACTGGCTGAATAATGATTTTTTTATATCCTAAACTCGGTATGTACGACTCAATGGCTTTTCAGAAGGCTCGCTAGAGAAAAGTACGCTCTGTTGGCAGCTATTATTACTAGCTCCCATCTCATCCTCTTTGTTATTTCTATCGTTAATTTTCGATCTAAGGTACGTGAAGCTTGATAAAGCTTGAAAAATATGGTTTCCCAAGACATAGTGATGTGGTGGATGGACGAGCTTTTTCTTTCTTACAACAAGGACCTTGGTTTTGCTTTCGTTTTAGCCAGCCCCATTTTCTCTGCCTCCTCCTCCAACCTAGTGAATGTACTCTTCGCTGCTTGAAGTGACCGCTCTGCAATAACCACATCGTCTGCAGTTGGGTCATTCTGTGGAATATTGGAATATTCTTCTTTATTCATGATCGTCTCTAGGGCAATATTAAACAGGAATAATGATTCTCACCTTGCCTGAGGCCAGAATAAACTGCAAAGGATTCGCCAATTCTTCCTTTCTACTTAGCTGTACTGACGGTGAGTTCCATGGTAGCCATCGTTGAACGAATCAGCTTTGCTGGTATGCCCAATTTAGACATTGTATAAGAGAGCTCCTCTCTAACAACTGTGTCGTACGCCGGCTTAAAATCAATTAAAAACATCAACATTGAGTTAGTATACTCTTTCATTTTTTCCATTCCGTCTAATGACAAAAAATTTATCGATCGTAAATCGGTTTGTCTTAAAACCATCCTGGTAATCCCCAAGCTCTCGCTTCATATTTAGCACGATGCGATTATACACAGCAATACCTTATAAGGGGAATTAAGTAAGGTGATCGCTCTATAATATCACTTACATCTCCTTTTCTCTTTTAAATTGGGACAATGAGGGACTCTTTTTATTCTGCCAGAAGTTTTTCTATTTCCCAAATATTTGCTACTAATTAAATAATTTCTTCAGAACGGCCATTCTTCCCTTTCAGAAAGGAGAAATTCTCCAGGGATCATCTCTGATCCTGGTGACTTATTGTTCCTTAGCTTTTCCAAAATATGTTATCATGAACAGGTGGCCTGTCTTCATCCTTATCTTCTTCTCTTGTTGATTTCATACTTCTGTGGGTTTCTATTTCTCTATCCGCAGGATTGAATTGCTCCTGGAAGTGCTCTTTCCATCTTCCCTGAAACTCATTCTCCACAACAGCTTTCCATTTGTATCTCTTACTCTACCTGATTCATTTACAGAACCAACTTTTGTTGCCTTTACATCCTCAAAGAACTTTCTTGTTTCATTCCTAAGCCTTGCTTCTTCAATGTTTTTAACTTTTTCCTGAGCTTTTCTTTTTTTCTGTATCAGCATCTTGAGAATGATTCCTTACTACTTGGTATTATCCTTGTTTAATTTCATTAAATACCGAATTTCAGAATATTTCTTATTTGAAAATACATCTAAAACAATTAACGTTTCAAAATATTATTTTATACTAATCAATTTCGTTTCAAATTGAATTCGATCGAATTGAAATATCTTTTGTTGTCTTCTCCATTTAATTTATTTTAAAATATTGTTGACAGGAAAACTTCTTTAGACGATCTTTGCACTTATTACTTTCTTACCTTTACTAGGTACGGAAAGTATTGCAATCGGGTAGAATTTCGACAGATCTATACGTTTCAGAGCTCCCTGAGTCCGAAAAAACACATTTTTAGCCATTGGTCTGTCTGTCGCAATAGATTGTGCGAAATAAATGAAAAACACGTTTTTCTATAGAATGTAATGCAAAAACAGCTCTAACGATTTTGATTAAACTTTCCTATA